AGAGCTTTTTTTAAAAAAATTGGTTTTGGAATTATAGGAAAAAGGCTTGTAGACTCTTATCAGGAGAAAATTTGGCAGTAAATATTTTTTAATGTTTCTACAAAACAGGAACTTAGACAAATCTGTCCGGTGGAAGTTTGCTTTGTCAAGTGTTTATTTGGATACCTATGACAACATTTTTTATTGTGAAAATACCATACAGAGGGGTTACAATTACATAGGCAAGGTAATGAGTACATTTCTTATCAAGCATTGTTGCCTCCTTCTTTGTTTCCCCTTACCATCCCTTCCCATCTCCCTCCCTACCCTGCACTAAAGTTGTAAAGTTCGTTTTTCGACATAACATCTTGTACATCTCATTGTTGCAATGGGTCCACCTGTATCCCTATTTAAACAATTGCTTTTTTCCCTTCCCCTCCACAAATTATACCAACATCAAAAACAGTGAAAACAGGGGTTATACCTTGGGGGAGAGACATACAAACCAACAAAGAAATATCTTATAAATATGTTAGAAACAATCACAAGAAAGAAAAAACATTTGAGTCCTTATCTTGGGGTTCATTTCACTTAACATCAACTTATCTGACCATTTCTGCTTGTCTCAGACATATACTAGTTATTGCAAATAAGAGAAACCATGGGACCTATGTTTCCTTGGGCCTAGCTTATTTCACTAAATATAATTTTTTCCAAGTCTTTCCATTTCCTAACAAATGGGGCAATGTCATTCTTTCTGATGGAGGCATAGAATTCCATTGTGTATATCTATCACATTTTCGTGATCCATTCATCTACTGAGGGCATATGGGTTGGTTCCATATCTTAGCTTTAGTAAATAATGCTGCAGTAAACATAGTTGTGCTGGTAGCTTTAGTGTGGTCTTGTTTGTGAACATTTGGGTAAATGCCCAAAAGTGATATTGCTGGGTCATAGGGAGATCTATGTGGAGTCTTTAGAGGAACCTCTATACTGCTTTCCAAAGTGGTTGAACAAGTTTACACTCCCACCAACAGTGCAGTAAGGTTCCCTTCTGTCCACATCCCCTCTAGCATCTGTTGTTATTAGAGTTCTTGATTCTAGCCATTCTAACTGGAGTGAGGTGGTATCTCAATGTTGTTTTGATTTGCATTTCTTTTATGGTTAGGGAGGTTGAGCATTTCTTCATGTGTCTATTGGCCATCCTTCTCTCCTCTTCAGAGAAGTTTCTCTTTAAATCTTTAGCCCACTTATTTATTGGGCAGTTGTTTCTTTGAGGATTTGTTATTGGGGGATTTAATTTTTTGAGTTCCAGGTATATTTTAGATATGAGACCCTTGTCCGATGTATGGCTAGTGAAGGTCTTCTCCCAATCCGTGGGCTTTCTATTGATCTTGCGAGCTATGTCCTTTACCATGCAGAAGCTCTGCAACTTTATGCAATCCCATTTGTCCAACCTTTCTTTGATTTGTTGTGTTTCTGGGTCTCTTTTAAGAAAATTTCAGCCTGTGCCAAAGAGCCCTGGGGTTTCGCCTATTCCATCCTGTAATGTTTTCAGAATGTCTGCTTTGACTCCAAGGTCTTTGATCCATTTGGAGTTGATTCTGATGCAGGGTGATTGATAAGGATCTAGCTTTAGTTTTCTATAAGTGATTAACCAATTTTGCCAGCACCATTTACTGAAGAGGCTATCTTTCTTCCATTCTATTTTTTTAGCTCCCTTATCAAAGATTAGATGGCTATAGGTCTGTGGGTCCATTTCTGGGTTTTCCAATTCTATTCCATTAGTCCAGAGGTCTGTTCTTGTGCCAGTACCAAGCTGTTTTGATTACTATGGCTTTGTGGTAGAGTTTGAAATTTGGTATTGATATTCCTCCAGCACTGTTCTTTCTGTTAAGGATCGTTTTTTGCTGTTCGGGGTCTTTTATTGTTCCATATGAATTTTTGGAAAAAATAAGGAACGCTTCACGAATTTGCATGTCATCCTTGCTCAGGGGCCATGCTAATCTCTGTATCAACATTCTTTATCATTAAAAATTTGAAAACTGGGCTGGGAAGGTGGCTCAGTGGTAGAGCACTTGCCTTGCATTCCCCAGCACCACATAAGCAAAAATTAAAAAAAAAAAATTTGAAAACTGGTTGGAGGCATGGCTCATGTGATAGGATTCCTGCCAATGAGAGATAAGGGTCAGATACTGAGTTCGAGTCCTAGTCTTGGACAAAAGAGAAAAATTTGAAAACAATCAAAATGTCCTAAGAGCCCACAGTAGCCACACTAAATGAACTGCTTTGTAGCCAGGAAAACCACACTTTAGAAAAACAATGATATGGTGAAATGAATATTAACATTGTGTAACATTAAAAGATCACAAAAATGTGTGAATCCAAATGTTAATGTAGTTACCCACAGTGTTGTTGGCTTGCAGTTTTATTTGTTTCTTTTGCTCTCATATTTTCTCAACTTCCACAAGTGTACATGTATTCCTTTTGTAATCAGAAAAATTATGGCTTGTTTTTCAAAAAGCTAAGTGATAAGGAAGGTATCCCTATTGTTTCTAAACTTCAGCTCAGATTGCTTAACTCAGGAATCATTTTATTAACCACGATCACAAAAGATCAGCATTATTAAGGCCATAGCTTAGTATATTCTCCATATCCCCAGATCTGGTGTTGGCCCACCTGGATTTTAAGTTCTTTTAAGCTGCACTGCCTGAGGCATTTCCAGGAGGAATCCTGTTAAATGAAAAATAAGACCTTTCATGAGCACTGCTGAGCCATTTCTCCTGCCACATCAAACACTCTCTGACTTAATCTCCAGAGAACAGCTTTCTCAGATAAATTGTCCACCACCACATCGAGTTCTTGGCTTGTTTTAAAAAGTCTGCAGATGCTTTCATGAGGTCATTTTTTAAGCTTAAATAACCTACTTTGCTTTGAAAATCTGTTTCCTCTCTTTTCAAAAGAGCATAGCAGGAGTTAAAATTGGATTCCTTTTTGCAGTCTACATCATACATCTGGAGTGATTTCCAGAGTATTAATGTTATGGTATGTTACAGCAAGGACTGTCAGGTGTAATTTTTGCAGACCTGCTAAATCTGAAAGGGCAGTCTTGGACAGCCAGCAGTTTTGATCCTTAAGCAGAGGTGTGCTTTCTGAAGTTATTCTTACAGTCAAAGGGGAACAGCACAAAAATAAGCCTGCAATGTGATCCTCCTTGCATGATGATAGGACAGTAATAGGAAACATCTTCATCATCTATACTGCAGACTTTTGCAATTAGATTGGTAAGAGATAGGAGAGTCCTGAGATCTTGAGTGCAGTTCCTCACCTGGTACTTAACCCCTCTTCTCCACAATTTTAGACATAGCATTTACTAGTACTGAATTATTTATAGTAATAATTATGTTTTTCTTTGTAAATTAATAAAAAGTGAGTATTCTGATTTCTTAGTCTGTGTACTTAATATGTGCTAGAATTCACTGCAGAAACATAGACTTGAAATTTTTATTATGGAAAGTTATTTTATAGGAAATTCAATCTCTAGTAGATTCAAGGTTATTCATTATTTTCTGTTTCACCTTGGGTCCATTTTCATAAATTCTGTTTTGTTTTTAAGAAATAATGTTCATTCATTCATTTCATTATCTTTTTGCTGATCTTTAAAAAGAATCAATATTTGGCTTTGGTAGTTTCTCTGTTGCTTCATTTTATTTCTATTTCATTGATTTCTGCCCTTTATTACTTCATTCCATCTAGTTAGCCTAGTTTTATTTTGACCTTCTAGTTTCTTAAATTGGAAGTATAGGTTCTTTCTTTTAATTTATTTTCCAGTATAGTATCTAAAGGTATAAATTCCTTTCTAACAAATATTTTAGCAATATCATATAAATTTCTTTAAATCTTTTTGGATATAATTGATACAAACTATACTTTTGTTTGTTTGTTTGTTTTGTTTTGTTTTGTTTTGGGTCCGGTCGTGGGGCCTGAACTCTGGGCCTGGGCACTGTCCCTCAGCTCTTCAGCTCAAGGCTAGCACTCTACCACTTGAGTCACAGCGCCACTTCCGGCTTTTTTTTGTTTTGCTTATGTGGTGCTGAGGAATCGAACCCAGGGCCTCTAGCATGCAAGGCAAGCGCTCTACCACTGAGCCACCTTCCCAGCCCCAAACTATACTTTTTTAAATGTACAAATTTAATGAATATATACGTCCATGTATCCATAGCCTCAGTCAAATAATGGCCTATCACCACTAAAAATGTATTCAATTTCCTGACAACCACTTGCATTTGCATTTTCTAGGATTTTAGGTAAATGAAAGTATAAAATACCTTTTTTTAAAATCTGACTTCCTCTACTCAATATTAGTACTTGAGATTCACCCACATTATTGTATTAAAAATTTTTTCCTAGCTTGGTAATGATAGCTCATGCCTGTAATCCTAACTACTCAGGAGGCTGAAATCTGGGGACTGAGGTTTGAAGCTAGCCTGGGCCCAGAGTCTTACGTCTAATTAATCATCAAAAAGCCAGAAGTGAGAGGTATGGCTCAAATGGTAGAGTGCCGGCTTTAAGCAAAAAGGCTAATTAAGAGTGTGAGGCTCGAGATCAAGCCACAGAACCAGGAAAAATAGAGAGTTCTTTGCTTACAGTCCACTGTAAGAAATGCTAACCATAGATTACTACTTCAGTTGACTAACATTATCACCAGGCTCTAACTCTATTTAATATCTCACCATTTTCTTAAAACCAGGTTGGACCATCTGTTCCACTTTTCCTACCTAATCATACTTTTATCTTAGGTAATTACTGGCTTTTTGATCTCCAGAAAAATTTCAAGGGAACCTAAAATAAAACCTTTTCATTAGTACTGTGAAAATATCTGTCTTCACTATATATTTTCAGTTGAATATGTAAGTTACAATATCAGTTACAACAATTTGAGTTGAATTATTTTGAATGTGGGTCAAATATAGGTAGGCTGTAACTAATAAGGCATTGAAATGTTTGCTGTGTTTTTCCAGGTGAAGGTGTCTCCATCATATCATCAGTCCAAAGGGGACCCTCCTGTTAAGAAGGTAAAATTTTTAAACCAATAATAATTCCTTCTGTATATTTATTCTCCTCTGTTGAATATCCTTCTCAAAATGACATTGATGTTTAAGCATCTTAATGCTTTCAAGGTCTTTTTCTGATTGGATACTTTAATGATAAATTGCAAGAACGCTGACTTTTCCAGAAATGCCAGTTTAGGTTAGGACCCAGCCTCAGTCTCTTAGCAACCAAGTATTGTCAGTATTCCAGAATTACTATCATCTATACCAGGCATGGCATCATGGTATCATTATGTGGCAGCACATAAAAGATATTCCAAGGAGAAAGTTAGTCTCTCTTGACATGATTTCTCTTTAGATAATTATGCCTAAAACAAGCTGGCCAGCAACATTAACATTTCTTCACATACCACAGCCTATCATCGGTGCCATTTTACTTCCTATCTATAAAGCTCAGACTGGCTATGAGTTCACCTACTACAACAAAATACCTAAGACAGGCTACTTAGGAAGAAAGGAAGGCTTATTCAGCTCACAGTTTTGTAGGCTCAAGTCCAAGACCCAGCAACCCCTAGGTTTGGGCCTCTGACAAGAGTAGCACATTCATGGCAGGAGCACATATTGAGGTCAGGAATCCACATCATAAGCCAGGAGCCAGAGTGAATGAGACCAGGGTCCCACAATCCCTTTCAAGGGTGCCCCATTAGACCTCAACTCCAGAGGTCCTTGACACCTCCTAGTAGTGCCATCTGGGACCAAGCCTTGATTGCATTCAAACCATAGTAGATGCTAAACCATTTTAGTCTCGGCATACATACAAGAATGATAGTAGAAGACAGATGGCAATTGTGTTTTGTACAAGTTCTCCAAAATTAGCCATGGGACACACTTCTAAAATAGAGATTAAAAACATGTGCTTAGATACAACCACACTTTGGGTTCAAAGATTTACTTTTCTACCAGTGTCTGAATGATCCTGAATAAACAAGGCTCTCTCTTTCCTCCTCAATAAAATAACAATTTTCCCTCTTGGAATTGCCCTGAAGATTAAATGAAATACTGTTTTAAGTGCTTAGCACTTACATGTGACACATAATAAATACTCAAATTGTTGTTGAGACTGATAATAAAACAGTCTCACAACTCTTAATCATGTGTTCTTTCCATTTTTCATGCTGTTTATATATTTCTTTATGCTACATACCAAGCTAAGCATTGGTCTAGAGATGAAAAATCCAGTCTTTGTTCTCAGTGACTTCAGAAGTCAATGGGAAAGGTAAAATCACAGTTACACAGTTTGACACATGCCACCGCCACCAAGAAGAAGCCTGGCTTTGAAATGACTTGAGTGATTTAGTGTAACCTGTGTGCTCTTTATGCCAACAAAAATAAAGAACTTTGAGGAATGATTAACTGCTCCTCTATTACCTTTTTATCCAATTACAGTGAAAGCAAATTCCACACAAATGCTCACTTAAAAGTGGGTACCCACAGCCTGTTTTTTGACCCTGGTGATCCTTCAGCTCTGTCATTCACCGTCAGAAATGGGGCAGCATTTTAAAAGTAGAACTGTTCCTCTTATAATCCACAAACAAAAACTTTTAAGACAAGATTAGCCACAAGTTCCAAATGGTATTCTAAGTGGTCAAGTTATGCTTACTCCTTCTCCAAGCAATAGGTGAGACTATGTCTCATCTATTTTATCCAATGTATATCTTTAATACCTTTAATTTTGTCAGTGAGAATCCATTTCCAGTATTCACCATGCTTGTTAGCTGATTTGCAAAGTCTTAGGTATTAGTCAATAATTGAAAAGCTGGGCTTATTGGTAGCTACCTTTGGGAGTTCATGTTGGCTAGCTACTACTGAAATAGGATATTCTTAATTAGGACCACCAACCACTCCTAAGTTCAGTGAAGCCCAAACTAAATATACATACTTAGCACAGTTTATTGTGTCTATAGTTCCTTTAACATACTCATCATAACAGGTGCCTAAACCAGTCTGAGGTGGGGAGAGGATAGGGAAGACTTCACAGGGAAGAAAAGGCTATTTTTACCTTGGATAATAAAGAAAAGGGTATTACTGGTGGACCTGGGTGAGTACAGCACATTGGAGGAAATGGGAGTGAGAAATTTTCTGGCTATCACAACAACCCACAGTCTGCAGAGGCTGCTTCTTATCTTGAGGATGAGTTCCCACTGAAAGCAGGAAGGCCAGTTAAAACAACTAGACAGTTGTCTAAGCGAGAGAAAAGGTTCTTGAGGAAATTGAAGAGATAAATTCAAATCTTTGTAATACTTCTCTAAGTCTGTTAGGTATCCTTTGAGCTCACAGTACCCTGAACTATTTACCTTGATGTGTTGAGGTTGTCTCTACCTAAAATCCTTCACTCATAAGACGTCGCTGGGCCAGGCTTCTCTCCTCAGCATAGCCAGTGCCTTACTGTTCTCCCCAAATCAGCAGTCTTAGTGAAATTACATGAGGTCAGTGGGAACCTTAACACCTGGTTGGGCTTCTCTGATCAGCTGTGCATCAGCTTGTGCTTGTATATGTATGTCTACGTGCATGTTCTAGTCCTAGCACTTAAGCTGTAGTCCATCTTCCCAAACTTGCACTAACAGATGGAGGCAGCAGTGGGGTGTGTTGAACAGCCACTGCCAGAGTAGCATATTAAAAAATCACAAGAAATCAGTTGGTATTCTTGATGTAACCAGTGAGGCACTGTTGACTCATAACTGAAGGAAGTGTTTAATGACTGCTATCAGCATGACCCTGCCAAAAACTGGGCTCATATGCTCAGAAGACAGGAGCAGTGCCCAGGGCACTGCTATCTTCTTAGGACACATATCACCTGTAACAGTCACATCAAGACAGCACTGTTCTGTTCAGCTGCCATGTGTCTGATATATGGCACATTCTACTGCATGGATCATTTGGCAACATTGTGCCTTTTAGGTATTTTTCCCAGTTGTCCTAAACTAGAAATATTTATTGAATAAGTATATATATATAGTATATATATATAAGTATATATATATATATGTGAAACTTACATAAAGCATTTCATATATAGCTCTAATTGATAACTTGAATAACAAAGAAGATCCATATGCTTCTCTTTTCAGTGTTTAATCATAGAAAGGCAGTTTGCCTATCCCTTAGATGAAAATTAATACAAAAGTCCACTACAGTGAACTCCATAGCAAAGCTCCAAACTGGAAGTCTGAATGGATTAAAGGACCACTTGATGAAACCACTTAAGAAACATCCAGCTGGGGCTGGGAAGTTGGCTCAGTGGTAGAGCGCTTGTCTTGCATGCATGAGGCCCTGGGTTCGATTCCTCAGCACCACATAAGCAAAAAGAAAAAAGCCGGAAGTGGTGCTGTGGCTCAAGTGGTAGAGCGCTAGCCTTGAGCTGAAGAGCTGACGGACAGTGCTCAGGCCCCACGACCGGGCCCCCCCCCCAAAAAAAAAAAAGAATCTTTGTAGCAGAGGTGGGCCTGTTATACTGACAGTCACTAGAGGAAGAACTTTGTCGTAAGGTTTGATTAGACACCTATGCTTATACATAAGCTTCCTCTGTAGAAGTCTGAGGGCCCAGGGTTGTGGCTGAGGCTTCCTCATACTGGTGGAGGCCTCTGGAAAGTCCACAGACAGGGTTCCCCTCACAATAACTCCTGGCCAGGAAAAAGCATGGGCAGTAAGGAAGTGTAGTCTGTCCAACAATTGTGTGATTCCATTCAGCAAATACTTAGCAAGCTGTGAAGGGACAAAGGCTACTAGAATGTATAGGTTTTGCTTTCGGCACCTTTACTAGTCAGTAGTGACTGAAATCTAGTGGATTTTATAACCAAGCCTTTGACAAAGTGGTTTGTGGTTTCTCAAATATTCAAGTATGCCATAAGAATTTGGAGCCAATTTTTCTTATTCCAAGTATTGTGGTGAAGTAAGGATTTTAGAGTCCAGTTTCCTAGTCAGGAATGTAGACAACTACACTTGCTCATGATTTTTATTGAATCGCGGGAATTTTCACATTTTATGGGGAAAGCCTTGCCATGCTACTGTTACCATAACAACAGAAAAGCTGGCTATGTGTCTCAGCTGGCTGGTGCCAAGAACAGCTGGCTGATCATTTCAGGAGAGTCAAGAGAAATGTGAAATACAGAAAGGACTGAAATGGGTGCCACATTTCTACTCATCGTTTGGTGGTGGCTTAATAAAGATGTATTTGCTTTTTAATGCCTCATCTCTGGCTCTTTCCTGCAGAGCTTCAGGTCCTCATAAATGACAGCCCTTGATGGATGTCCATGGTTTTTCCTCAGAATATTTGTCTTAATAGGACTTCTATCCAAGTGTAACTTCAGTGCTGAAGACAAGGATACAGCAGACCTAATTTGATACTTGTTTCTGTAGAGGCTGGGTTGAAAATGTTCATGATCCAGGTGCTGTTTTATGCTGACAGGGAGAAGCTGGAGTCTTGGTTTCAGATATAAGGAGGGGCTGGGTGCCTGTGGTTCACACCTATCCTAGCTACTCAGGAAGCTGAGATCTGAGGATCACTGTTCAGAGCCAGCCTGGGCAGGAAAGTCTGTGAGACTCTTATCTCCAATTAGCTACCAGGAAAAAAAAAGTGGCTCTGTGGCTCAAGTAGTAGAGCACTAGCCTTGAGCTAAAGAGCTCGGGGACAGCTCCCAGGCCCAGAGTTCAAGCCCCATGCCCAACAAAAAAGAAAAACCGCATACAGATATAAGGAGGGCTCTTGGAAGGAACCCCAGACATTCTTAATAGTTTAGTGGGTAAAACTGGTACCCATGTAGTCACCATGTAAATGGTGCCATCATCTTGGTTGGAGTATTTTATAATGTGGTATATTTGTTATAGTTGATAGAAGACTTATTAGCATCTAAATATGATTGACACTAGTGTTGTATACTTTGTGGGGTCTGACAAGTGTTAATGAAATATATCAACCATTAACATGCAATGCAGAATAGTTTTACTGCCCCTCCCCCAATCACTGC